TCGCTTAAATATTCTTCTCTCGGCGATCTTGATGTAAGAGTCGCGCACAATGTATATCGCATTCCCACGTGAAAATTCCAACATTTCTAAGCCACATCGGGATCAAAAAGGTATCCCTCTTCTTGAATATTAACTGAATATAAAATCGCGGATGTGTGATCGTCCCTCGTAGAGAGACCGATCTCCCCTCTCTCTTTCGAAAAATCTCATCATACATCGCGCATCGAAAGTACGAAATTTTATCGATACTTCAATAAAATCGATAAAAAAAACCTCGATCTGAGAATCGCTTAAATATTCTTCTCTCGGCGATCTTGATGTAAGAGTCGCGCACAATGTATATCGCATTCCCACGTGAAAATTCCAACATTTCTAAGCCACATCGGGATCAAAAAGGTATCCCTCTTCTTGAATATTAACTGAATATAAAATCGCGTCTTTCCCGAAGAAAATAGTGCAGGATATCCGACGCAGCTTTTTCGACGATCGATTAGATAATAGCATAAAAAAAAAAGAGGGAAAAACTTTGAAAGCTTTTTTTCCCTTTTAAAAGCGTTTTATTTTAAACGGGATGCTTCCGATTATTCTGTATATCCGTTATTTGGAACGACGATGAGAAGAAACTCGCCTTCGCGCTAATCCCGTGTTCTTTTTGTATAGGATCGACATCAATCGACGGTCCATTATGGAAACCCGATTAGAACGTGGCTCGTAAAATTCACGATGCCAGAGCTCGAATATGGACCGGCGGTGGTGAAACGAGAGATCGCGGCGCTGGCACAAGCAGTTTACACTCTCGAAAAAGCCGCCGTCGCGCGCGGAATTTAAGTTCCTAACTATTTGAACGTTTGCCAGAAATAAAGCCCCGAGGCAGTTGCCGTTGACCAGAAATTATTTCTTAAGTTCTGCAATGTGCAACTTTATTTCTACGGTAAACAGCCCGCTCTTGCCGATGCTTAACGGCGTTTAAAGTCTATACCAATGAACAACGTTGTCGTTTTGGCATTCGCGCACGGTAATATAAACAGCTGATGGAAAAACGACAGCGTCTTGATTAATGGAAGGATAGGAACGAAAGAAACGTAAAGTCATGATAATAAATGATGTAGCACTGTCTATTGCAACTTTTACAGATCATTATTGAAATCTTTAACGCGCGATAAAGGGAAAAGGGCGAGTAACGGCTAGACGATGCGAGAAAAGGTTGGAAAATAAGGTAAAACTTGGGAATTCTCGACGCTAACGAACGCATCGACATATTCTCAAAGGAAATCATTATTCGCGGTTTTTTTTCCCTTTGCCCAAGAATACAATAATAAATTTCAAACAGATTCATGATGTGTGTGCTATACGTAGTAATTTGAAACAAACACCGCAAAATTTTATGAAGCATAAATAATGGAAGAAAAATTAAATACTAAGAATTAAATATATATTTTAAATATATATTTTAAATATATATTACTTATATTATATATATATGTTGTAGCCAAATTACATAATCCATCGTTTTATAAAACGTCTAGGCATTTTATAAAATGCGGCCACATTCTCAAATCATTTGTTTGAAAATGAAATATTTTACAATCTGGCTAAGAATTTTAGTTTTTTTATAAAACACTAGCAACATGACCCGCTATGTCAAACGCAACGATTTGTACATTGTTTTAGATTCTGGCTGGTTCATTTCAATCATTTTATGAACAGCGCGTTTTTACCGATCTTATTTTATATTACATTTAATACAATAGTCATAATAAATGTTCTTTTTTTATTTTTTTCACGCTTATATTTCTTTTTATTATTTGTTTTCAAACATTATTTTCAAGAATTTTATTTATGTTACTTTTATAAAACCTTGATTGTAATAAATACAAGTATTCATAAATACAATAAATATAACAAAGTGTCCATACAAGTTTTTTCTCATTTAGAAATACACACAATTACTTGTTAATATTATAACATAATTACCTAACTAGTTTTCTATAAATGACTGTTCTACAAAGACAGTTTATAAAATGATTGAGATGAATCAGCCAGAATCTAAACCGATGTAAACAAATCGTTGCGTTTGTTAGCATTTTATAAAAAAACTAAAATTCTTACAATTAGTCAGATTGTAAAATATTTCATTTTCAACTATGATTTGAGAATATGGCCGCACTTTATAAAATGCCTAGACGTTTTATAAAACGACGGATTATGTAATCTGTCTACGACATATACACTATATGCATTGTATGCGCATAATCAAATTCGTTAGGAAATCATATTAGCAAAGAGGACCGAAATCCACGGTCAAGCTGTTCCAACAGATCGCATATCTCACTCCTCGAAATACTTAATGTATAAGAAAAATCTCTTCACTATAGTTGTATCGACATTCAGCTCCAAGGGTTATATGGAAAAATGATACGCTCGAACAAACTTTATAAGTTATAACGAAAGTCGTGTTATATGTAGGGGAATAATATACCACGATCGTTCGTTCCACCATTTGGATCCACGAAATATTCCGTTTATTTCACAGAACATGGAATTTATCCCGACCCTGTACCTCTCTCTGGTATTTCGGTCAGATATTTCATAACCCTGCAGCTACGGTGACTGAAAAATATTTCGATATCTACATACTTATTGATTTTATTTCTTGCACCACTTTCCTCTCTCTCTCTCTCTCTCTCTCTCTCTCTCTTTCTCTCTTCTCCTCATTCATTTTCTTTCATTTTTTACTATATCCTTTTCGCTATATATTTAGCTTTCTTATGTCGTTATGTTTCTTCCCCATCTAATGCAGTTTAACAAGCCTCAATGTCCGTGCTCGTTAAATCGAGATTATGTAAACAAACTTATAAAAAAGTTGCATAAAAATAATATATAGGTTTTAGATTATGTTTTAAAAGTACGAAACTTCAAAATGTGATATATTTCGATACATCTTATATCCAACTAAATATATTTTTGCATATATGAGTAACTATCCATCGTCTCTCGCACAGATATAAATAAGTTTAAATAACTTTAAAAAAATATGAGAAAAGAAAAGTTAAAAAAGTACCATCTCCGTATCGACCAATAAGGTTGCGAGACTTAACTATTTTCTCTGACGAGAAAAATTGTATCCTCGAAACGATGTTTTCTACCAGCACTTTTGAAGCGCTCGTCAGAGTAAATTTATACTTCGTGAAATACGTCACTTGCGCTCGTGGCACCGTGATTAATTCACAGTTATCCTATGCGCATAATTATAATCGCTCGCGTTCGAATATATAAATTATGAAACTGCAAATGTTCCAAGTTCTCTTTTCAACGCGCGCCGGTCTCATTAATCTCGACGAAACTATTTGCTCAACTACTCGCTCAACACGAAGCTAGAGACTGGCCTATGGAGATACCGTCAAACGTCCTAGATGAAAGCTGAATTTGATCTTCAAAGTGTCTATCAGTCTTACGTCTGTCATTAATCAAATATAACTGACAACTGCGATATTGCCGGCTAATTTTCTCTGACGAGAAAAATTGTATCCTCGAAACGATGTTTTCTACCAGCACTTTTGAAGCGCTCTCTCGTCAGCGTAAATTTATACTTCGTGAAATACGTCACTTGCGCTCGTGGCACCGTGATTAATTCACAGTTATCCTATGCGCATAATTATAATCGCTCGCGTTCGAATATATAAATTATGAAACTGCAAATGTTCCAAGTTCTCTTTTCAACGCGCGCCGGTCTCATTAATCTCGACGAAACTATTTGCTCAACTACTCGCTCAACACGAAGCTAGAGACTGGCCTATGGAGATACCGTCAAACGTCCTAGATGAAAGCTGAATTTGATCTTCAAAGTGTCTATCAGTCTTACGTCTGTCATTAATCAAATATAACTGACAACTGCGATATTGCCGGCTATCAATCAATCATTACTAGCTGGCTAGGTCAGTCGCGAATTAACCGTTAGCGCGTGCCAATTATGCATCGATGATAGATGCTAATGCGATTATTCTGCGTTAGAACACGATACATCCATTAAAGCTAAATATTTTTATTCACTACGATTGAAGGAAGCCAATGTTATCGTGATGATATTACAATTTTATATCTTTCTCTGTTCTGTTTTATTCAGCATGCATAGTTATATGAGATCGTGCAACTCATATGTCAGAGACTGGCCATATATTGTTAACAATGAGAGAGAAACAGAGAGAGAGAGAGAGAGAGAGAGACACATGAATAAGAAGAGAAAGGGAGAGAGAGATAGAGAGAGAAGATACGAATAAGAGACGGGACTGCAATTAAGTGGCATGGAACGCGGACGTCACGAGAACATCGTTATAACATCGAGATCGCCATTATGCCGCGAAGAGGACGATCCTAACAACGTGGTGGCCACTCGTGATTTATGGTCTAGCGAAAACGCGTCGCGAGACGCGTGGATTATATATTGTGTATATATATATATGTATCTCTACAGAAAACAAGTTTTCAAAAGTACTTTACAAGAGTAGATTAAGAGAATAATGCATGTGGCTTTTGTAATCTTTGTCATTAGCGAAATTAGCCTCATTCGCGTTAATACGATTACAAACTTCGCGATATAGCCCGAAACAAGCACCATGTGATTACATCAAGACCAGGAAGCGCTTCAAATTGATTATACAGGGTGCTCTAGGTTTTCCGATCGCGAATTGTTCCATCATTTTGAGACTGATTCTTCCTTGAAGAAAATTGTTCGACATTCGGCTTTAAGTAGTTTTCTGATTCAAGCAAAATCCGCTCGATATAAGCATTCTTCTCTTTGACCATTAATATCCGCGGTTTTCGATAATGGTAACGATTCCGGGACACCCTATGCAAACACCGTTGATTTACGAGCCGCAATGCGGTCGTCAGATCAAAGTGCATATCGTTGGTAGTGGGAAATAGCAGCTCTCTTGATTGCTTCGAGGTTGCCAAGTCCCGTACGGTCAAATGAACATACGCGCAATGACGCGCTCACTTACCTGACACCGCTAGATGGACAGTTCTGATTAATGGTGGATGGGCGCTGACTTGACACTCGTAAAGGCCGGCATCGCGTTCTGTAGCAGAGCGCAAGAGCAATCGCCAGTCATTAGGCTTCTCAAAGGCCAGGGAGAATCTGGAGTCGCTCGCGTATGTGTCCAGACCGATGGTGAGTAAATGGAGCTCCTCTCCCCGTCTACGCACCCAGGATACCTGTAATGAGAAGGAAACAGTGCGTGTGAGATCCCGTCGCGATAATTTTCGTTGAATGTTTTTCAAATTTTTAAAAGTAATTTTTAATTAGATAAAAAGATAATAGTAGAGGAATCAGATTTTCTTAGCAATTACTTCAAGTTATAAAAGTGGAAAGAAATGCATATATTTCTCGCCTCGCTCGTTGATCATCTGCTAATAATCTCCGAAAATTATTAGCTCCGAGGATTCTCTGAAAAGTCGTTAATCGCTCTAAGACTTTACACACAAGCGGGTGCGCAGACAGGGCACATTTATATGCGGTCGAGTTATGAGTGGACGTGCAAGAATAATCTTGTTCCTTTCGCGAAAGCGCCAAGAACACTTTGCATAAATCATACTCATCGAAGCTAATGGAACAGCGTGCCATAAAAATACGATCGTATTACCCGTAAATCACGTTAAGTTATACCGTTAACGGCTGTTATCTGACGCAAATATATGTCCGCATTTTAAAATCGATTGTATCGTTCCCATTTTCTACGAAGCGCACATAGAAGCTTTGCGGGTAAACAAAAAAGTTCTGACAACTACAACAAATTTAGCCAAGGTGATAAACTCGCAGAATATTTTCAGCATTAATTTCTTTCGCTTTGTCATAGTTGAGGCAGAGAGAACGAAAATCGATATCAGTCCTCCCGCAAAAAAAAAAAAAAAAAAAAAGCCTCATCATTTGCAATGATATAATTTAAAGCTTTTCCCGATTTATTCGTAACGCGTCCTCGAAATGTACATCGCAGCAATATCTACAAATTTTAATTAATTCTACGGAATATGAGAGATAATTGCATTCGCGGTGCATCATGTACAAATTACGTATTACTTCTGCGAATAGCAGCAAATTGAGACTAGTTGCGATATCATGAAACTCCTCTTCCGA